CCACCAGTTTGGCACCACAATATTTACAACATAGACATTTTGACATAGTGAAATAAATTAAAGTTTGTAAAAAAAATATATAAAGGATATTTACATTTTAGCAGGTGCTCTTATCCAGAGCAACTTACAGGAGCAATTAGGGTTAAGTGCCTTGCTCAAGGGCACATTGACAGATTTTTCACCTAGTCAGATATGGGATTCGAACCAGCAACCTTTAAGTTATTGGCCCACCCTCATAACCGCTAGGCTACCTGCCGCCCTATTTCATGCTGAAACCCTCATACACCAATGGTATTCACTAAGGTAATGTTTTATATTTATACATCTTTGTCATAATTTTTTTTAGAAACCATTTTTATTAAATATAATAATTGTATATATTGTACATGTAATAAGGCTACACAAAGGGCCAGAGATAATTACAGACACCTATGATAATCTGAAGTACCCAGAAAGGCCACTAGATGTCATCTTATAAAATTCCCCCCCAAAACATAACTTAAGTTACCAAAATTCTGGTAATTTACTGGTCAACTTTGAAAGTTTCCAGTAATATACCCTCCCTTTGAAACCCTAGTTCCAACCCAGTAAAAGATAATGGTTCACTGCCACAGAGGAAAACGGTCACTAGTATTGTGAGGACGGAGGTTAGTTGGATGTTTCTGAGGGATCTATGCTTTACGTTGTACTTTTTTCTCGCTCTTGTTTGCAATGCATTATGGGACTTCCATATCCCTCTCTATGTTTGTGACAACAAATAAAATCCTGACATGGGGATGTTCATGTCCGAAGCTCAACCTGGATGAAAAACATTGAGCGGACAGGTTATATTTGGTGTATCGGAGAGTATTACCGCCCAATCTGCGCTCCACAGCAGATGTCTGTGCTTCTGGTGTAAGCTGCTTGTTCCCGATGTCACATTTTGCAAGCCATATGCATATTACATAATGTCATAATTTTCCCACAATAACCACCACAAAAAACTCCCTATTATTTTATGACTTTTGGGTCTCTCAGGCTCTGAGCTCTACAGTCCTCCATGACACTGAAGGAAAAACGTCCTCCATCCTCCTCCGTCCTCCTCGCTCCCCTTCCTTCCACCTTAATCTCTGTCTAAGTCAGAACACTCGTGAGGAATTCCCCCCCGGGCCCTCTCGCTGACCATAGCCTCCGATCGCCATGCCAAATCCAGTAGACCAGCGTCCCTCATAGGAGTGCTGCAGAGTGGACTGCACCGATAGTTTCTGACTAAAGGGTCAGTTAGCCAGCCTCATAATGACTAATGTAGATCTTAATGTGCTTTAATGACCTGCTCCATCCATGCCACGGAGGCTGAGGCTTCTCCCAGTGCTCTCGCTGCCTCAGGAACGGCTAAAGAGTGGCTGACTGGCCTGGCCATCCCTCATCAAGCCACTATTAGATGGGCTAAATGGCTAGTTTTGGGGATTATGCTGATGAGATTGTTTTGAAGTGATGCCCTCAGGACAGTAACCTCGATGCTAAACCTTTGGATGGTTCCGTGTCCTGTATTCTGTCCTACTCTGGCCACTCACTCCCACTTTCTCAGGTCAGATTCATCCTGGAAGGACCAGGAGTGTCCATAGATCACCTCAACAGTGGTGTCTATTGTTGTTGAAAACAGGACTTTGTGTTAGTTCTAACTCAGTTACTTAATGGGAACCTATGCTGATCAACTCCTGGTACCACAGGTGCTATAGATTTTACCTCAATCTCACAAACCAAAGAAAAAAACCCATCACCTACATTTAATCATTGTCATAGCTAATACTTATCATATTAGCAAACAGCACTTTGGTCTTCTTTGGGTACGTGTTTCATGTGAGCTTGTACATTACTTATGTACCGAACAGTCCTTGGCTAGCCTGTGTAAGGCTACTGTGTGAGTGTACAGCCCAGAGGCCTCCATTCTCCTCCTTCCCCAGAGCAGAGCAGAGCCCAGCCTCACGTGGCTCAAGATCACTGCCGTTTTTCATTACCCAGTGGGAGAGACACTTGTGATTATTGCCAATAAAGGAAATTAGATCAAATGATTTTTGACTTTGACTCCCCTCTTCATCCTTTCACGTTTAATCAAATGCAGAGGTAAAGCCATCACATAAATTGCTGTTGATTTATAAATAAGCTAATTGGCGGCATTCTCCCTAAGTACCGCTCTCTCTCCCTCTTTCCTTCTCTCTCTGCCTCTCTCTCTTTCTCTCTATCTTTCTGCCGGTAGATCAGGCAGCATTTTTATTGCCCCTATTCTAAACCCCTTCATCCAATTTTTAAAATGGCTTATCGAATGAAATGTTCCCAGGGGGCTGTGAGGCAGACTCATTGGTCATACCTAACCACAAGTGGCTCTTTGTCAGCTCCACAGTCCAGCGGTACGGCAGAGACGATCCCATGTCCATATCTGTTAGGTTATATATCCATCTGCCCACTCTATCCCACTTTGTCAGGTTTATCAATGCCTTGTCAAGGTAATGTCTTGCTGCTTGATTTCAGCAACACTGCTCTGGAAAGAAAGGCTTTATAGATTCTAATAACGCAAGTGCATTGCTAGAGACGGACAGCGCTTAACATTTGTCCTCTAGCTTAGCCATATGTTTTCATGCATTCTTTATGCTAATCCTTCCACACCTAAGGCAATATTATCACCCTCTATTCAGTCTCTTTCCTCAAGAAGGATTAATTATGTGAAAGACAGTAGTGCTTGAGGTAGATGATTAAGGAAGTTGACATTAGGAAACTGGTTTTACCCAATAAAGTGCATTGGAACCATATACTGTAGCCTATAGGGTACCACACCCATTGTTTCATTGTTTCATTGTAGATTACTTTTCCAGAAATAGAAAAAAAAGGCCATGAACACCATCAACATCTTATGGTAACATTGCTAAATCTGTCAGCGGAGATTCGTCACGCCGTGATGTCATTCTCACCACAGGATTCTTCTGGCGTCAGTAACAAGCTTTTAATGAAATTCAGGATGGGCCTAAACTCAACTGTATTTGCTACAATAGTTGCTGGTTCATTTGGTTCAGGTATAGTTGCTAAGAAAGACCAAGGCTGTGGGCGGTATGCTTTCATATACTGTCTTCCTCACCCACTGGAAAAAGACAGGTATTCATAAAGCCAATGAGAATTCCTCTGTGAACCAGTAATTCTTGACTAAATACTTATTGGCCTAATCTTGGTCTGGCCCTGTGGTATCATCCAGAAGTAATAAGTAGACTGGATCTCTAGATTGACTAGAGCAGTAAGAAGCCCCTCAGTTTATGCCACTCTGTAGCATGAAAAGCAGTGGCTCCTGCCTTCATAAATTCACCCTAGCCACGAACACTTGCCTTGGTGCCAGCACTTTAAATGTGTTTCCCATTCCTTCGTCAATGACATCAGCATCTTTCCGTGCTTGTTCTCTTCCTCATCCAAGTCTCCCTCTCCAAGCAAAGCAACCTGACAAAGACTGAGGATTTCGGTAGCGTTGGAAGATCCTCCTCTGTTTTGTTTTCATTAGTGATGCAAACCATTCACAATGCACAAGATGGATACAGTTATATGAGGAGATTTTCATATCTACTTAGATTGCTGTGAAATTGAATAGTGTGTGTGCCTGCCTGCCTGCATGGGTAAGTGCATTTAAACAATATTCCTAGAACACAAGCTCCATCTCCATCACAGGCCAGCAGAGTCTCATGTTGATGACCTCAGAGCCCCACAAGCCTCACAGGGTCAACCCATGTCTCAGAGGCTCCACGGTAAAACAACAGTAATAGTATACACTGAAGTAGTGTAGAATTAAGTTGAGGCTATGAGAAATGACTAACATGTTGTTTTTTTATTATGCTTTTTATTGTAAAAAAGTGTCATAATACACTGAACAGAAATATAAACGCAACATTTCTGTTACAGTTCATATAAGGAAATCAGTCAATTGAAATAAATTCATTAGGCCCTAATCTATGGATTTCAAATGACTGGGAATACAGATATGCATATATTGGTCACAGATAGCTTTATAAAAAGGTAGGGGCATGGATCAGAAAACCAGTCAGTATCTGGTGTGACCACCATTTGCCTCATGCAGCGCGACACATATCCTTCGCATAGAGTTGATCAGGCTGTTGATTGTGGCCTGTGGCATGTTGTCCCACTCCTCCTCAATGGCTGTGCGAAATTACTGGATGTTGGCGGGAACTGGAACACGCTGTCGTACACATCGATCCAGAGTGTCCCAAACATGCTCAATGGGTGACATGTCTGGTGAATACGCAGGCCATGGAAGAACTGGGACATTTTCAGCTTCCAGGAATTGTGTACAGAGCCTTGCGACATGGGGCCGTGCATTATCATGCTGAAACATGAGGTGATGGCAACGGATGAATGGCATGACATTGTGCTTCAGGATTTCGTCACGGTATCTCTGTGCATTCAAATTGCCATCGATGAAATGCAATTGTGTTCGTTGTCCGTAGCTTATGCTTGCCCATACCATAACCCCACGCCAACAGCTCTGTTGCAATCAGCATGCCAATTGCACACTCCCTCAAAACTTGAGACATCTGTGGCAATGTGTTGTGTGACAAAACTGCACATTTTAGAGTGGCCTTTTATTGTTCCCAGCATAAGGTGCACCTGTGTAATGATCATGCTGTTTAATCAGCTTCTTGATATGCCACACCTGTCAGGTGGATGGATTATTTTGGCAAAGGAGAAATGCTTACTAACAGGAATGTTAACATATTTGTGCACAAATATTAGAGAAATTAGCTTTTTGTGCCTATGGAACATTTCTGGGAACTTTTATTTCAGCTCACGAAACATGGGACCAACACTTTTTAAACGTTGTGTTTATATTTTTGTTCTGTATATAATAATATACTGCAGGATCATCATCAAGGGTCATACCATGGTGTATTTATGTCTTTATCACATTATGAAGTGGCGCAATACAGTATGCATGTCTTCATGAGTCACTTTGATCTAACCACAACAGGCCTGAAGAACTACTAAATTCTGTTGAAGAGGAAAAGGAGGGACTTCTCAGTCTCAGCTCCCCTCTGGCTCCCAAAGCGCTGTGCTTGAGCCCAGAGCTAGAGGCTGCCATGCTGGATCAGAGGGAAGGCACCAGGCAGGCTGAGGCTCCTTCTCACCTCAGGGAAGAGAGAGGGCCTGGGGGAGAGATGGAGGAGAAGGAAGAGGGGGATAGAGGAGGAGAAGAGGGCCACGTCAGACCTCTTCATATCGTCTGGCCTCATAGGTGGTGAGTTGATGTCTCATCTCTACACTTGAGATAGATACACACACGCACAAGAACACATATACAGTGCCTTCAGAAAGTATTCACACCCCTTGACTTATTACATATTTTGTTGTGTTACAGCCTAAATTTAAAATTGATTACATTGAGATTCTGTGACTGGCCTACACACAATACCCCATAATGTCAAAGTGGAATTATGTTTTTATAAATGTTTATAAATTAATAAAAAACAAAAACAAATATTGAGTCATTAAGTATTCAACCCTTTTGTTATGGCAAGCCTAAATAAGTTCAGGAGTAAAAATGTGCTTAACAAGTCACATAATAAGTTACCTGTGTGCAATAATAGTGTTTGCCATGATTTCGAATGACTACCTCATCTCTTTACCCCACACATATATTATCTGTAAGGTCCCTCAGTCAAGCAGTGAATTTTAAACACAGGTTCAACCACAAAGACCAGGGATGTTTTCCAATTGCTCGCAAAGATGGGAACCTATTGGTAGATGGGTAAAAATAAAAAAAGCAGACATTGAATATCCCTTTGAGCATGATGAAGTTATTAATTACACTTTGGATGGTGTATCAATACACCCAGTCACTACAAAGATACAGGCGTCCTTCCTAACTCAGTTGCCAGAGAGGAAGGAAACCGCTCAGGGATTTCACCATGAGGCCAATGGTGACTTTAAAATTGTTACAGTGTAATGGCTGTGATAGGAGAAAAAACAGAGGACGGATCAACAACATTGTAGTTACTCCACAATCCTAACCTAAATGACAGAGTGAAAAGAAGGAACCTGTACAGAATAAAAATATTCCAAAACATGTATCCTGTTTGCAATAAGGCACTAAAGTAAAACTGCAAAAAATGTGGTAAAGAAATTAACTTTATATCCTGAATACAAAGCATTACGTTTGGGGCAAATCCAACACAGCACATCACTGAGTACTACTCTTCATATTTTCAAGCATGGTGGTGGCTGTATCATGTTATGGGTATGCTTGTCATAGGCAAAGGAGTTTTTTTTTAAATAAAAATAAACGGAATAGAGCTAAGCACAGGCAAAATCCTAGAAGAAAACCTGGTTCAGTCTACTTTCCAACAGGCACTGGGAGACAAATTCACCTTTCAGCGCGACAATAACCTAAAACACAAGTCCAAATATACACTGGAGTTGCTTACCAAGACGTCATTGAATGTTCCTGAGTGGCCTAGTTACAGTTTTGACTTAAATCAGATTGAAAATCTATGGCAAGACATGAAAATGGCTTTCTAGCAATGATCAACAACCAACTTGACAGAGCTTGAAGAATAAAATAAATAAAAAAGTGCAAATATTGTACAATCCAGGTGTGCATAGCTCTTATAGACTTACCCAGAAAGACTCACAGCTGTAATTGCTGCAAAAGGTGATTCTAACATGTATTGACTCAGGGGTGTGAATACTTATGTATTCAATTTAATCCGTTTTGAATTCAGGCTGTAACACAACAAAAATGTGGAACAAGTCAAGAGTTATGAAGGCTTTCTGAAGTATTGTTGAATGTTAACCATAGATGATTGTTTAGTAAGGACTCTAGGAAAACCCTATGGATAGAGGTTATTTGTTTCAGAACTAAGAAACATGAAGAAAGTGTTTGGAACCTACTGTGAAGGCCAGCGTGTTAGCATATCAAAACACCTGTCATGATTGACAAAAACAGCAAACACGTTTGGCAACTGGGTTGTTGTTACCTTGCTTGATTTGCTGTGTTTGCCACTCCTGGCATCGTACGGCATGCCTTAGAACAAAGCAGTCAAGTAAACCATAATCCAAAGATCATGTCGTAGGCCTATTCTGGAACCCAAATGACCTGGAAATACCTCTCCAACAGCAATGTACGTATGTACCAACCCTGCGGAAAGTTATTTGCTTTGGATCATCAGAGTGTTGTTTGACAACAAACCGAGGGCATGGAAAATTACTAACACGTTTTTGTGTAACAATGTCATTAAAAGAGGGAAACTAGCTAGCTATTGTTGGTTGTGTTTTGAACTTAAGCTTTGCTAAGGATTTCTATAAACAGGTATGCTCTTACTGTGTGGTTTCCCAGTCCGAATTAGAAATGGCATATTAAAACATTAATTGTGTAACAGTTAGGGGGAAGTATCAAGATACTCTGGGTGGATTTGTGAATGTTTTTCTTTTACGTAAGCAGAAATATCCTTTACATTGTTTAGAGTAGTGTAGGCCCCTTTTTTGGCACACCATTTCTCTATCTCTGGCTCATCTGTGTTGGAGAGGAAAGACAACAGCTTTTCTGTGGATTCACATTTTTCTCCTCTGACTCCATTCTCCTTTCGGCAGTGAGGCTTAGTTTCCTCACCAAAACATGTCCGTAAATCAGATTAACAACCGCAAAGACCACCAGTGCCGTAGTTCCTCCCTGGCGACACGATTTGCCATTGTCGGCATCGTCATTGCCATTCTCCATTATCCCTCCCGCTCTGTGTTTGCATGGGTCGGGTGTGTGTTTTTCACCTACTCTTATATCAGTAACAAAAGCACCCATCATGTAATCTCCTCTAAACTGAGCAAAACACAGATGGATTATCACTCCCAACATCCAGGCTTCATAAACCTTGGCTTATTCTGGGGTAAATTAGGAGAGGGGGAGGGAGGGAGGGAGGGAGGGAGGGAGGGAGGGGAGAGAGGGAGAGAGGGAGGGAGGAGGGAGAGAGGGAGAGAGGGAGAGAGGGAGAGAGGGAGATCACAGTTTGTTGCATTTCATTCTCTTACATTTTTTCTATCTCTGGCCTCGCTTTTTTGTGCTCATCATTGGTTGCAGATTGTTAATCTGTGTGTGGCCTGGATAGGCGTTCATCCTCAGATTACAGGACTGTCTTATTGCAGGCAGTGGCCTGGGCGACCAGGCCAGGGTGATCAGATCAGCCCCACCAGAGAACAGGACAGCTGTTTTACAGGTGAAGATGGCTTCGTGCCACAGTAGTGATGATAAAAACCAGCGGGAGAGAAGAGTAGAGCAGGACGGAGACTAAATCTCTGCTACCAGGGGCTTTAGCTCCATCTAAGGTTGATCAGGATCAGCTTTTACCTCAAGAGGATTGTCCTCCTGGAGTATTTCTGATTGCAAAACAAACAACGCAATCAAGATGTGTAGGTCACATAGGCACACAGCAGGCAATTGAGAAAAAGAAACACATCGCGGCGGTGTGAGACCCTCAGAATGTTATGTAGTATATGACGCTATTCTTGATTCCTGATTATAGTACACCCTGCGAGAGGGGCTAGCCTAACGTCACTGAGGTGCCTGGGTGTATTGCTTGTTGTTTTTCTGCTAATCCCTGTCCAGACGGGCCACTGGTCATTAAGTGCTGACGCACAGACTCGTCCAGTGATGTGCCAACAGTCTCTCAGTATTGACCCCAACCCATCCTGCTCTGGGCTTTCCCCTGGCATGGCCTCAGGCCGCCAACCTGACCTCAACCAACCCTCAGGACTGACATAGGACCAGGAAATAGAAGTTAAATACAGGGGCATGATCTGATTTACTCATCTTTTTTTGTGTTGTAAGGGGCAGTTATGTTTTTCAGAGTCATCACTACAATGTGTTGTTTGTTATGCTTTATGGCCATTTATTCTTCAGCATTTGTGAGCTGAACCTAGAGACATTATACTCCAATGAGACTATGTCATGTGGGGTCGGTACAATGTAGTAGGCAGCAAGCACTGAAGGATATCTATTTGTGTGTGAAGATGCAGCCTGTTGCCGTTCCCAAAGTTAGTTCTATTTTAAGAAATGTCTAACCCTTTGTAGTTCTCCTAGACTTATGATTTAAAAATCACCACTATTTACAGTGGTGCATGTTGTCAGGCCTTTGAATGGAAGAATCTCCTCGGTCCCCTCCTACTGCATGTTGGTCTATCTTCAACAACCAACTCTTTGTCTTTCAAGTGTCCCCTTAATTAGTGCGCAGTCCTTTGGTTTCTGGTGATTGGGCTCATTTCACATTGTGCATTGGAGTAAATAGTATTTGAATTTTAAAACGCACCTCTTGGGTGCAACATAAAGGAGAATATTTAATCACAGATTTCTAAATGAGAGGATCTTATTTTCTTTTAGCTGCTACGTGATACATATTAATGAGGTTTTTCTGGGTAGTACGGAACATACTTTTTGCTTGATCATTTTACCCGGCTTCATCTGCATTCATCTGTGAGGTCACAGGGGTGATAACGCACCACAAAGGACTCGTATATAAAGTAAGCGCAGAAAGAGAAAAGTAGTGTTAGTCGGAGCTGTAAACTTAGGAGTGACAAATAAGCAAACGGAAGATGCACCAACCTCGTATCTCTCGAGACCAGACTAGCAGAATATAGGATAACTGTTGATGTTGGAAGAGGGCATACCTGATGGGAATGGGATAGCTGGAGTGAAAAATCAGTTCAGCTGACTTGAGGGAGTTCTGACTGTAAACTGTACTGTACCTTCGAAAACAACCTTGATGTGCCTTAGAAGCAGCAGATTAGTGGTGCGTATTGGCAGTGTGGCTGATTTTGTGAAGATGCCACATAGCCTTTGTTTGTCACTCTCCCTCTAATCAGTGGGATGACAGCTCCCTCCTACTTGGTTGACTGTCGCTGGGGGTTAACGGTCCTCATTAACAGATCTAGGGCATCAGTGGGGAGTCAGGGCTCGCACTGTGATACGCTGCCGAGGTGTGTGTGTGTTTTGAGAGAGAGGTTCTTCCTGATAGTCATATCCCACACATTAATTAACACTCATTTTCCTACGGAGGGGGATGGTAGCCTAGTGCACAGAGCATTATTATCACCGGCTCATTCACTCATTGTCCTCCTCTCTATCTGTAATGGGGGAATAGGGATTCATGCCTCGCATAAGGAGTTAAAAAGGGTAGGAAATAAGGGAATTAGCTTTTATCCACAGGGGATGCCAATGAATATGAGAGCTGAAAATGAGAATAAATAAGCTCCTATAATACTTCACCTAAGGAGATCCCGTGGAGGTAGCATTAGGAGGGATCTGTCTGTACCTCACCTAAGGAGATCCCGTGGAGGTAGCATTAGGAGGAATGATGCTGCTTTGTAGAAGGCGTTTGACCTTCACACACTATCCACTGTTAGACATCCTGCTTCCTTTATGAACAACCGAACATCACAAAAATGTTATACAGTACAGTCGATTAATATAATTCAGAGATCTGTTGGTGAGAAAATACAATGCGTGGTGTTACGAAGGGTATTTATATTATAGTGCTTCGCGGGGGGCAACTCAAAAATCTGAACCTATCAACCATCATTAATGTGTAGCTTCAGTGTGTAGAGTCATGCATGGCAGCCATTTTACACCAGAATACTCAACACACAGTGATTGTCAGTGGAGAGATGACAGTGATTCTTAACATCTGAATCTGCTGGCCACATAATAGTCCCTACTCTTGCAATTTTTAGGGCCTTCCTCTGACACCGCCTGGTATAGCGGTCCTGAATGGCAGGAAGCTTGGCCCCAGTGATGTACTGGGCCGTACGACTCTTGCTGTCGGAGGCCGAACAGTTGCCATACCAGGCGGTGATGCAACCAGTCAGGATGCTCTCGATGGTGCAGCTGTATAACTTTTTGAGGATCTGAGGACCCATGCCAAATCTTTTCAGTCTCCTGAGGGGGAATAGGCATTGTCGTGCCTTCTTCACGACTGTCTTGGTGTGTTTGGACCATGATAATTCGTTGGTGATGTGGACACCAAGGAACTTGAAGCTCTCAACCTGCTCCACTACAGCCCCGTTGATGAGAATGGGGGCATGCTCGGCCCTCCTTTTCCTGTAGTCCACGATCACCTTTGTCTTGATCACTTTGAGGGAGAGGTTGTTATCCTGGCACCACACTGCCAGGTATCTGACCTCCTCCCTATAGGCTGTCTCATCGTTGTCGGTGATCAGGCCTACCGCTGTTGTGTCGTCGGCAAACTTAATGATGGTGTTGGAGTCGTGCTTGGTCATGCAGTCATGGGTGAACAGGGAGTACAGGAGGGGACTGAGTATGCACCCCTGAGGGGCCCCCGTGTTGAGGATCAGCGTGGCAGATGTGTTGTTACCTACCCTTACCACCTGGGGGTAGCCCGGTAGGTTTAGTGAATGCCATGGTAGGTTTAGTGACCAGAGAGAGCCAGAACCTACATGTTAATGTCACATCCAGGGGACAGCACCCTTTGCAGGTTACGGAGGTCAGTGTCCCATTCACTGGCCCGCGGCCTTGAGGGCTCTATTAGACCAGACGGAAGAGTGCCCCCTACTGGCCCTCCAACACCACTTCCCAGTCACAACCTGGTAGTCTCAGGCGCTGACCCCCGCCCTACAGCTTCAGATGAAGCCAGCAGAGATACACAGCCATTTGCATGTAGTCAACCTTCATTCATTTTCTACAGTTTATACTAGTGACGAACCGTAAATGACAGTGCACTAGTAAGGGCACAAGCCTACTCTCTAAACACATTTGTGTCATCGACCTTTACTGTTTCACTGATTCCCTGTTTTGTCATCGCTAAAGGCAGGTGTGAGCTAATGCTAGCTGCTGTTAATGATAATGAGCAGACGCTCCTGTTAGATCAGTTGACTGTACTCCCTGTTCCCTCCTTCAGATTAGCATGGTGAGTGACAGGCCACTTGCACAGTATGACATCTGCTCCACAGCTGAACACACAGCACCTGTGTTAACTAGAAGCAGGGCCTTCCAGGCACCGAACACATCAAGGATGACTGGCTGCTTCTCTCTCTGAGCCAACAGGGATCTCTGTCTCTCTGTCTGTCAGCTTGTTAAATCCCCCACCTGGCGCACCGCACACCGCACCGATACCACAGTCAAGTGTCCTCTGGGGAGTGCTATGATCTTTCTCTCTTTCTGGCTGCTGCCTTGCCTTGTGTAACCTGGCCTCTCTGTGTGTGTGTGTGTGTGTGTGTGTGTGTGTGTTTCTGTGTAAATAAATCACAGAGCAGAATGGTACTGGGAGGGGTAAGCCTTTGGACGCCCGGCGTACATCAGAGCAGAGCCTGTCCTGTGTGTGTTGTGTGTGTGTGTGTGTGTGTGTGTGTGTGTGTGTGTGTACGTAGCACCATCAAAAGGCCCTGAATTCTGTTTGTGGTTGAAGGGAACACGACAAAGACCCCGAGCTCTTCTTCAAGACGCTGCTGAAGCTGAAAGAGAGAGGCCTGGGCTTTCAACTGTCTGTCCTGGGGGAGACCTTCACTGACGTACCAGGTACAGACACACACACTTTACAAGCAAAGGATTAAGTGGGCTCTGGTTTTGCGATGACACTCGTTTTCAAAGCAGTGGATGTTTGGTTTCAAAACATTGAGTAGAAAACTTTGCACAACTTCTCGAAAGGTGAGTGAAAAGCTGTACTTAGTTTATTACGATGTAGTATAAGCTTGTGCACCCAAGGCGTACTGTATGTCATTCTTATGGCTTTCAATGTAATTGGTAATTTGAGTAAGTGTAGGGTTAAGGTCATCTGACAGGCTAGTTTTTTTTATGCCCTCAGGACAGTGTTTAATTGATCAAATCCGCTCCCCATTAGTAGATGATGACGCTATAATGACTTTAGGACACTCCAATGTATTCACCACTGAGTGTTAAGTAAATTAATACACATTCTGGCCCCATGGCTGGAAGCAAAGACATCCTTACAGGAAACACACTCTCTCATATTGGGATGTAAACTTTTATAGGAGCATAAACAGATGGAAAGAGAGACCGTAAATTTTTCTCATATTTAGTAATTACGTTTATGATTGCTCGGAAGGCAATTGCATTAGAACAATTTTAATCTACTTTGATTTTCTAAATAGGGTCACGGTATTGATTATGTTCACCCTTCACCTGTTTCTCCCGATCTCATGTTGTATATCATTTTTAGTCCAAAGTTTATGCCTCAGCTTCAGTTCTGACCTCTATTTTTCATAGGATGTTTTTTCTTCAGTTTTTCTGGATTCAGTCCATTCCCTGTCACACTGATCTGTTCTCCAAAACACTTTTTGGTCACTGAAACATCTTCCTGATATCATCACTATTTTGTGAAGACACAGCAGCATGGAAGTCATTATGAATCCAGAATGTCACGGACAGATGGCTTTTCAATGACATGCATTTTGTTGCATTATTTAATTTAATTTGTCCTCCATTAAACTCAAGTCCTTTATGTGGGAATATAATCGGTTATAAAGAGTTCACGAAGTGAGCGACTGGACAAAGTCAATCAGTCTACTCTCGCATTTTACTCAATCAAATGAAAGCATATCAAATAATGCTATTTGATCTCATTCATACAGTAACAATTATGATTATTGTGAATAATATACATCAGTTCCCCCCCCCCCCCCCCCCCCTCCCCATTCAGACATCTTTGCGGAGGCCAGAGTGGACCTGAATGCCCATGTCCTCCACTGGGGGTTCATGCCCAGTAAAGAGGACTACCTACAGGTCCTCTGCCAGGCAGATGTGGTGGTCTCCACAGCCAAGCATGAGTTTTTTGGAGTGGCCATGTAAGTTACTCACTCTCCTGGTTTGTTTGTAATTGCTACTTAAGACACAACAAAATATGAAGTGCTGAAAGAATGAATGAAAAGTACTTTGGTTGGTTTTCATGTGAAGGAAACGTTTGAATTTGACATGTCGTCTACATGAAAAATGCAGAGATAGTTCATTAAAACTAAACTAAAAACTCTTAGAAATAAGTGTTTTTACCTCTAGGGAGGTAGAGTCCAAAGTGTATGATGAGACTTGCTACCATATGAAGCAAAACTTCAGTCACCTGTGCTGTGCATTTGAAGGGTTTCGTCAGATCCTGCCCACAGCCAAGGTAGAGCAAGACTGGAGCCAGTGTAGTGCTACTTCAGTAGAGAGGAAGGTTGTGATCTTACAAAACACCAGCCTGGTGGTGTGTTAGTTCTATGGATTGCTTCATGCAGTCAGTGTGGGAATCTATCTTAGATAGATTGGGTGAAAACATGTTAGAAGCTTAGCTGTGTACAATATAGAAGCCATGTGCTAATTATGGTTGTGAAAAACACTGTCCTGAGTTTGAGGAAGGGATGTCCCTCTGGGGGAGTCTTGTACAATTATGTTTTCCACTTCCTTTGATCCAAACCAGGGGGACCAGGGGGATCTGAGACACACACGACCACCCACTAAGCTCTATTGATAGTAAACCTTGCGGATGCGGTGGTGGTGAAGGCCCTTTGTGTGTGTTTTGGACAATAGAGAAACACACATTGAATGGATGAATATCAACACTGGGTTCTCCTAAGAGAGATGCTCAAGTGGATGAGAATGTTAAATGTTTCCTCCAGATTCCAATCGGCTTCACTCACCTGTTTGAAAGTAAACTAAATAGATATCGGTGCTCGTTGTGTGTTCCATTACAAACCTTTTAAATTAGTAAGGGATTTAGAATATCTGTTCAATTTCATCAGCTTCACATAGCGTTCAAAACAAGAAAATAGTTAAGGGTTTCTCATTTCCACATTCTGCTGAAGGATGAACAGACATGTAGGCTTCTGAAGAGCACAATAAGCGAAAAAAGAGAAGTCCAGTCATATTGCTGGACAGAGGTGTCACCAATGTGTTTCATCCTCATTATTGTGGAATTTGGCCCTAATCTGATTAATTATGGTCTGGCGATGTGAGCAAACGCCTATTCATGCCCAGCAGTGAAGAAGTCAATTACCCCAGCAAAATTATCGGCTAATTATATTTGAGATGGAAAGCCTTATAACCATTTGCACGCTTTACGCCACTGAAACGGAACTGACCTTTATAATCAGTTTCATAGATTTTGCTGTCATAGACTAGGGGGCTATCATCTTGTTACCTTTAAATTAGCTTGATTAGCCATGCTATTCTTTGGAATGCAGGCAAAGGCAATTAGACTATTAAAAAACATAAACCACTTTCATACGGTGCCGAAAGGTAGTTTCACTTATTAAACCCCTGTTGCCCAGGAACAAACTGTTGCCTGTCAAACCTACTAGGTTGAAAGAAGAACAATATTGCAGTTATTGCCGCTATTTAAAAAATTGCCATTTGTTAAATTGTAAAATGCAGCTGATGTTGTATATAGAATTTCCATATTGGTATCCGTCACTACTAAATAGTCTGTAAACAACTAGTTTGAGGATATTAGGCACATTTTAGAGTGCAGACTAGTGAATGGCGTCATTGCATACGTGTGAGGATTTCACCCATCATTTTAGTCTTAACATGAAATTAAACTCCCAAGCACAAATCCCATGTTTAAAAATGTACGTCTGTTGCATGAAGAATGATGTACTAAACTGATGGAAAGTAGCGAAATTGAGGAGTCATCAATATTGATGCACATTCTACAAAATATTTAAATAGGCAGGTTTCTGCACTGGTCAGTGAGGTTCAGATGAAAGTGGAGGGAAGCTCTATGTACCATACCAACAGTCTTTTCTATCTCCAAGTTATTTCAGGAGATGAACGTTTCACAAATAACTTATTCACATTTGAAAACCATTTGGATGGATTTTAGGTCCTCTCTTTTGTGATGGTTTTGAACATGCTGTAACATTGCATATGATGTGAGTTAACAGTGAAAGAGATGCTTTTCTCTCCCCATCATTTTGAGAATGGGATGAGTTCCACTGTGTTGCTGGGAAATGTGCTATGTCCGGATGCTTTCTTTCCCAAGCTAGTCTGTGGGACTTCATTTATTCTGAACTGTGCATCAAAAGAAACCAATGTCAACAAAGACACAATGGGACCCATTTTGACAACGCTGTTCAGCTCATGCAGTTAATAGGGGCAGATATTGTGTTCACTTTCCAATTTTTGGGACAGAGTAAACCAACTTTTGTCTGTCTTTTGCAAGACCAGAGTGCACTTTTTCAGCAAATGGATTTCTGACAAAATGATTATGTTATAGAACTGGTGCCCAAATGTGTTTCACACTTGTTGTTTGTAAGCCAATGCTTTTGACAGGAAGCTAAATTATACAATTTTATATTGCAGGCTAGAAGCTGTTCATTGTGGCTGCTATCCACTCTGCCCCAAGGCTTTGGTGTATCCTGAAATATTCCCAGGTATTACTACACAAATACGCTAATACACCATTGCATTGCAAGACGTTTAATTCTCAAATGTTCTTATCTCTAGAAATGTGTTGTATTTAGATGTTCAAGGTGTAAATCTGAAAAATAAATCACTAAAATAGAACGCTGAAGTCAAAGCTACGATTAATGAGCACAAAAAAAAAATCTAATTTACCTGATTTACACCGTAGCTGTGCCTCTTCCTTAAATTAGATTTGCATAAATAATATGAATCTTTAAAAATAATACTAGTCTAATTATGTAAAACCTGTCCCAGTTCAGGGTAATATATATTTTTAATTATAAAAAAAGTGAGCTGTATCTAGCCTGTGCTTTGAGGTTTTTGTTTCATTAAAGTATGTTTTCCTTTCCCCTCTCCGTCCTACAGAGGAGTATCTGTACTCTACACCTGAGCAGCTTTATAAGAAACTACAGGGACTGTGCAGAAGGCCATACGTGGTGAGGAGACATCACGTTAAGGTAATTAACACTTTGACATGACAGGAACGGGATTAGCTAACACGCTTCATTCAGTTCACAATTAATTTCTCTCTTTAAGGTTTCTCCTCACCCTTCACCCTGCCTGTCTTCCTTTCTTTCCTCTGTACTGTAAGTTGACAGTTGACACCAGAGCTTATTCCTGCCTTTCATTCTTTCCTCTGTATTGTATTGTAGGTTGACACCAGTTCCTATTCCTGGGCTGCTCTGAAGGAGGACTTCAGGAGTCTGCTGGCATGCAAAGAGGACCACCATCGCTGACAGACAGACAGACAGACTAAAACTGGGCCCAAGGCGAGTCTCCACGGATCTGCTAAGAAGTGGGCACACTTACTTCACTCGATTAGTGGCAGAATGAGATGGATTTAAAGGTTGATGGAAAGTCTGCAGCGTAGAGAGTGAGGGCTGTCGTCATAGCTGCCTGACATGGAGCCACGGGCTACAAACCTGTGGTGGCCTCAGACAGCCTGTCCCCACCACCTCTCTCTCCACTCAGCTCCACTCTGCTCAAATCAAAGCCATGCCTTTGAGACATTGTGCCTGTTGTAAACGTCCCCATCTTCACGTGCGAGAGAGAGGTCTTTTACCGTGGTTTGAATTTGAAATAAAGAGAAAATAACATGTAAACTCTTTCAAAGGTTTCTCAAAGGCCTCATATATCCGGTTTTATTCATTTGTATCCTGTACTGGAGAGGACCTGGAGCTGGAATTGCTTCCCCCCACCCCCCACCACTCCCGACAGAGTGGCAGCCAAGTTGTGGCTTGAAATGCTATTCTCTGCTTCCCCACATGGGTTGCCAGGGGCCTCATTTATAAATCGTGCGTACGTACAAAATATACACCAAAATGTGGGTGCGCCAGTTCATACAAAAGTTGGCATTTATAAAAAATGTACTTGGCGTGAGAATGTGCTCACCTCCCTGCAAACTTTAGACGATGCGTACGCACATCTCTGCTAGTGTATGAAATATTGTATTGCAATCTGGCAAGTAAGTATTTTGTGCAAATGGGGGATATGATGAAAACCTTATTCATAAAAAACATATTAACAAGAATACAGCCATTTGCCATTAAAGTGGAACTGACAGCATTTTAGCAACATTAAATCTTATTAAAATATACACCTCCAGGAAGAATGAAACTTTTTTTTACATTTTCTGACAAGCGAGCACTTAGATATGGTCATTTACACATTTTGATACATTCTTAGTATACATACTTCACAAACATTCTAAAGCATTTGTAAAAATTCTATAGCAATATAAAGTGGGAAAGCGGCTGTGCATTTGGACAATTAATAGACACTGCAGTAAATAAAACCTTAAAAAAACATCTGTCTCGTCCAGGACTGGAGTCTACGCAGACCGGTGCGGCATAGCCAATCAGAGCTACAGTAGGCCTATGTGCCAACAAGCCATTTGCCACAAGGGCCTGCCATCATTCACTTTGAACTGAACTGTGTGTTTACAGGCAGTTTCAACAGCGCGACTTTAGATCATTAGAACGCATTAGGCAAAAGCCACAAAATACACTTGAATGGATTTCTGCAAATATGTAGCTAAATACAACGGGAATCCTCTTACATTTGGGAACTTTACATTCCTATTGATCAAACAACCATAAAAGGGTAGGCTATCTTTCCCTATATGCACATCAACAACAACAAGATCAACAACTAATGCTAACCAGAGCAAGATGAGCTATAATCTAACAAAGGAACATTTAGATAAACCCTCTCAAACCTTTTCAGCAAGTTGGCCATCAAAATTGCAACGATAAATGATGGGGAATAGCCTGCTCATGTCCCAACCAAGCACCCAAGCTAACTGGCTAAAGTTGCCTAGCTTGCTAGCTAGCTACTTCCAGACACAAATGAGAGACACCTCACTTACCATTTTACTCGCCCTAGCAGAGCTGGTTAGGCTGTTTACATGTTATATAGAGTGTACGTGACTAACTATTACTTTTTTTGCCTGCGTTTACTGACACGGTCATATTCAGTGGGTCTTGTGCGTTTGTAAATTCCTCAGTTATTCTGTGCTCTGGCACACTCAGACAAGAGTGCTCTGAAATCAGAGTACATAGCTAGCCAGAGTGAATTAGCGAATGCAAGAGATATGCTAATTGGATAACAGTCGTTCAGCATAGCGATTCACATTTCTTACTAGCTAACCAAATGACATGTGCATCTTTAACTGTGTAGCCAACGTAAAAAAATAAGAGGGGGAAAAGTCAGTCACTCACCCACTCCTCCAATGACATGACGTCCTCTAAGCAGCTAGCTAGCTAGCTATCTAGCTAACGTTAGGCTCTGTGTTTTTATCTTGCTACATAAATAGATACGCTAGCATATTAGCCACGTTATGACTGACTTGTGATCATTGCCCTTGCTAGTTTGATTGTATTGACATTCCCAGCCTTAGTTACATTCATCAGTTTTTGTCCAAAATATTGAGTAATTGAAACTGAAACAGTGCATCCTGAATGGAGGCAGCAAACAATGTACCAGGCCAGCTGTGATTTACAACCTGATAGCAAGATTTTTTGGACAACCAAGAAATGTATTAGTGAATTATATTAATCATGCATTGAACTGCAGCCATCTATTCTGCCAACAATGCCTTAGCGTACATCATGATATGTTGAGTCAAAAATAACCTATTTCGAAACCTCTTCAAACATTTTTACATTTTAGTCATTTAGCAGACGCTCTTATCCAGAGCGACTTACAGTTAGTGAGTGCATACATTATTATTATTATTTATTTTTTCATACTGGCCCCCGTGGGAATCGAACCCACAACCCTGGCATTGCAAACGCCATGCTCTACCAACTGAGCTACATCCCTGCCGGCCATTCCCTCCCATACCCTGGACGACGCTGGGTCAATTGTGCGCCGCCCCATGGGTCTCCCGGTCGCGGCCGGCTACGACAGAGCCTGGATTCTAACCAGGATCTCTAGTGGCACAGCTAGAACTGCGATGCAGTGCCTTAGACCACTGCGCCACTTGGTTTGGTTTTGTAGCATAAACTAGGAATTTGATCTTTTTGACTGATATTATGATTGTCTGTTTCATATCTGCAAAGTAGTTAAAATGCTGTCAGTTCCACTTTAATGAGAAGAGAACATCTGTGTTTTATTTTTAGAATCAAAAATATAGACATAGGAATCTTTTTCCTATTTATTTTATTTCCATAACAATTGCAGAATAAATTCCTCACCTTTTCTGAACAAAAGTATAAACGCAACATGCAACAATTTCAAAGATTTTACTGAGTTACAGTTCATATAATGAAATAAATCAATTGAAATAAATTCATTAGGCCCTAATCTATGGATTTCACATGACTGGCAATACAGATATCAGATACCTTAAAAAAATTAAAAAAGTAGGGGCGTGGATCAGAAAACCAGTCAGTATCTGGTGTGACCACAATAATAATAATAATAATAATATGCCATTTAGCAGACGCTTTTATCCCAAGCGACATACAGTCGTGCAAGCATACATTTTTGTGTATGGGTGGTCCCGGGGATCGAACCCACTACCTTGGCGTTACAAGCACCGTGCTCTACCAGCTGAGCTACAGAGGACCACATCTCATGCAGTGCGACACATCTCCATGGTGCACTCTGTTCACAACGTTGACATCAGCAAACCGCTTGCCCACATGACGCCATACACGCTGTCTGCCATCTGCCCGGGACAGTTGGAAACCGTGAAGAGCACACTTCTCCAGCGTGCCAGTGGCCATCGAAGGTGAGCATTTGCTCACTGAATTCGGTTACGACGTCGAACTGCAGTCAGGTCAAGACTCTGGTGAGGACGACGAGCACCCAGATGAGCTTCCCTGAGACGGTTTCTGACAGTGTGTGCCGAAATTATTCAGTTGTGCAAACCCACAGTTTCATCAGCTGTCCGGGTGGCTGGTCTTCCCACGTGGTCTGCGGTTGTGAGGCCGGTTGTACATACTGCCAAATTCTCTAAAATGACGTTGGAGGCGGCTTATGGTAGAGAAATTAACATTAAATTATCTGGCAACAGCTCTGGTGGACGTTCCTGCAGTCAGCATGCCAATTGCTTGCTCCCTCAAAACTTGAGACGTATGTGGCATTGTATCCACTCACTACTACTGTAAATCGCTCTGGATAAGAGCGTCTGCTAAATGACAAATTATTTTTTGACAAAACTGCACATTTTAGAGTGGCCTTTTATTGTCCTCAGCACAACATGCACCTGTGTAATGATCATGCTGTTTAATCAGCTTCTTGATATGCCACACCTGTCAGGTGGATGGATTATCTTGGCAAATGAGAAATGCTCACTAACAGGGATGTAAACAAATGTGTGCACACAAGTTGAGAGAAATTAGCTTTTTGTGCGTATGAAACATTTCTGGGAACTTATTTCAGCTCATGAAACATGGGACCAACACTTTACATGTTGCGTTTATATTTTTGTTCAGTGTAAATTGTTTTGAATATACAATCAATCTTACAGACACTTGCTGTAGGCAGCATGGATGCTTATTCTGCCCATATTTAATGGTTATAAATGAGACCCCAGGGTCTGGGATTTCCTTCTCCCTGGAAGCCGGAGACTGTTGGAAGTACCTAAACAGACTTGGGCTGACTTGGGATAGGTACTTGTCTGCTGGTATCAATGCAGGTTTCTCTGTTTACTCTCTAATTTGTAAATACCACAGCAGTTGCTTCAAAGTTCTACAAATAAACATTGTTTTCTATTGTTTTGCAGAATATAGTGTTTTGTTTTGAGAATGTTCAACATATTACAATACTAGAATCCATATATGACAAGCAAATATCTTTGGTACATGCATTTTCAGGTGGAGCTCTCAAAATGTGTCATGCCCAGACTGCCAGTACTAACACAGTAATCATGTACTACCACAGTTTAAATTGATCAGCCCCTTTAGGATTACCTTACAACTATGTATTCAAGGTAGAACAGACACTTTCATTAGCGGAGGGTGAAAAGGTTAAACGTTAACCATATCATCAGGAATTAACCATATAGGCCTAACCGCAGCATTGTTTGGCCTCCTTCCCCTTTCAATCTCTCCCCCCTATTCAAAGCATGTTCCCCTTTAGTGTTGCTAGCAGCAACCTGAATCCCTTGCCTTCTCATGTACCCTTGATCTTTTATGGAGTAAAAGCAGGCCAAGAAAACAGAATTAGTCAAACGGGCTCACACGATACTGAGGAGGAAAAGATGTTTTAAACCGATAGAGTTAAT